CTTCCTCCAAAACAATTTTGGCTATAAAGTACAATGTTTTAGACATCTGAAAGGCATTCATTAGACAGCACAAAACCATTTAATATTGCCTAAACCAACACTTTTCGGTGGAGGAGAGTGAGAATCAACAGCAGACAATCATAAATTTATTTTCTGCTTCAAAGACTTTTAGCAGGTATTGTTTTTGGGTTAATATCCCATACCAAAATACAATGATTTTACATAAAGCTAACCATCTGAATACAAGAAGCATTTGATTAATCTTGCTGTACCAGTTTGACGAAAGATACTGCATTTCCCACCAGTTAACAATCACTTTCGTTTGACGATGAGCTATCTTTTGGACGCATAGATTTGACTTTGTCAAGAAGTTCCTTAAAACTTGGTTTTTTGACAGTTTTTTTCTTACATGGCCGTTTTTTTCTAGTTGTTGCCTTAACACCCCGCTTTGCCTTTTTGTGCGATCTCTCTAGCAATGTCATGTTGTCATATTCATCGCTGTCACTCAAAACACGTTTAATTGGACGTTTCAATTTCTTGCATTTTCTACATAGCCATGGGGATGAGTGAATATCTTCTTCGCAATCACAGTGATACCAAGATTTGCAAGAAGAACAACAAATCATTTTAGTTTTCATGTCAGGCAAGTTGCAGTGGCAATAAAAAGAAGGTTTAATGATGAATTTAGTTCCTGACGACTCTCTGGGAGAGTTAACAAATTGTATGCCTTCAAATGTTTTGCTTCTTAAAGCTTTAATGAGATGTTTTCTCAAGTTCTTTAAATTGAAATATGTTACCTGAGGGTCCATTTTGCGACATAAACATAGTGCAAAGAATATGGCAGCTATTCCGCTATCTGAATCTCTAAGACTGGAAACCGTATCAGCAACATGAATCTCAAATTTGTCGTTTTTTGGATGCCTAAGCCTTGCCGCATAAGCCTCGATCGAAATATCATATTTGCATTCTCTTTTATTATTCGAAAGATGATTCCTTAAAAGGCTGTCATACAAGTGGATTTGTTTATCTGAAGATACCATATTTGATAAAGTTCCCCAATCAGTATATTTTTTGGAATCATTTAGTGGTATAATTTGTATAAACCTATTGCCAGAGCCCCAAACAGTCAATAAGTCAGATATTTGATGAAGTCCTTCCACATTTTGGAATTCGCGCCGCATTACACCCATGGCAGCATTGATAATCGAAGAGGATACTGGCAAACCCAAATCAATATCATGCAGATGATTTTCGTTGAGATCAAAGGGTGCATGATCGGACGATGTAACCTTATTTTCACTTGAAAATGACGTAACATGTACGAAATCATGTCCGCAACCACTACCTGTATTTTCGTCAAACCTCTTAGCTGTTCCGGCTTCGTCGTTGGTAACAAAAACAATACTATCATCTATGTTATCAGCAAGAATGCTGTTTTCTGTTATTTGAAAAAATTCTTCATTTGTTGAAATTGCAGTGTAACTTTGGTTAGGAGAAGGTAATTTCGAGGAAGCCCTACTGCTGTCCTTACCTCTATTGACACCACTGGGCGAGGAAGTCCAATTCTTTGCACTGCCCTCATGCAAGAATCCATTGACAAATTCTTCGTAATCAGGGTCTAAAGCAGGCTCTTCAACAGTCAAAAAATTAGGTTGTGCATCGTTGGGTTCCTTGTTGGAATCATTGGATCGCATTGATTCGAAGAATTTGTCATTGGAATCTTGTCTGTCACTGCATTTATCTCTTGTCAAATCAGAATAATCCCTCCCTTTTCCACTTTTATGGCAAAATATTGCGCGTCCAAAGAGGTCATACCTAACGTTGAGTTTGGTCCTTTTTTCCATTTCTGAAACGACAACTAGATTTCTAGATTCATTCACTAAATCAATAATCGAGCGAAACATGAAAATGTGGTTGGATGGTGACATTTTATTTAAAAAATACCTGTTTAAATTAAACGAGCCGTGGATTTGCTCTGCAACCTGACTATTGATTTGACCCGAAAGTTCCTTAACACAAGCTATACGGCGGAGAGCTTCGACTTCATTAGAGGTGTTTTTTTCGTGGAGTCGGTCGAAAAGTGCTAAATGGTGTGCACTACCTGTTACTGGGTGAGAATTAGGTTCTAAATTTCTGTTTGTGTTACAATCTGAATTTATCCAAGGAAAGGATACCTGTAATGTTCCGTCATTTGCCATTTGCACATTCTCATTTGTTGACTCAGCGGCTCGGCCATCGTTTGGTGAGAAAAATCCAATGAACTTTCTGTTAGCAAATGCTGATACGATGTGGGCCATATCATTTATAAATATGTTTGGCCTATGCCGGAGTCCACGTAAAATATCTAAATAATCTCGGGGGCTCTCGGAACGAAGCAGAAATTTAATGGCATAGATAATTCCATGCTGACATGCGACTGTCAACCATCCACCAGAAAACCCAAACATTTTCCTAAAAATTTTATTGAATTTTATATTATTCTTTCCCAAACCTGTTTTAATACGATTAATTATATCTAATTTTGATCCTTTTGCGGCCACTCCTAGTTTTTTAGCAAGTAACCTGACCTCTTTGGACGTGCTTTCAAATAAAGTTTCTAACAGACGTTCTTCCGACATTTCCCTACACTCTATTTCAATGTCGTCATTTTCGGCATGAACTTTCTGATGCTCCGAATTATAAATAACGTCGCCAATTCTACTTTTCTCACCAATATATGGAGCCCAATTGGATAATTTAGGAGATACCGTCATTTCATTTACCCTGCGTCCTCGACATCCCCTGCTCACCATTTCCATTGTAACATCATCCCAAAACTTTTTGCAGTCTACTTCATCTGCATCTGAATAATTTTGTTCCTCAGTTTTTTCATCGGGTTCCCTGTACTTAAAAGCGACTTTGCGATTAACGTCGGCTATAAGAATATGTGGGTAATAGCCACATTCGACACAGTTGAATTCGTACGTGCGATTGCTAAGGCTTTCAAAATGTAAATACGAATTTAGAATTAAATTACTATCGAGTTTTGTCTTCAGCAATCCCTCAGCAATTGCACATACTTTTCCAACCGCCATATGATTTTTCAAGCATTCACGCAGGAGATTGCAGAAGTCTAGCCCTATCAAAAAAATATCGTCAAAATTGTGGACCCCATCCTTATATTCTTCATATCTATAGTAACTGTCACATTGTTCACATTTGGCAAAAAAGGTTTCGATCGAATCTAGAAATCCTGTTAGAGTCAATACTCTTGCATTCCGGGTTATCCTAACTGGGCGGCTCAGTTTTGTCTTACAAATATGGCATTCAGTCTCAATTGGTTTAAAAGATCTTGGTATATCTTTTTTTGATACCTTAACAAATTCATCTGGGAGCGGGAAAGGAATAGTTTTTTTTGAAAGGGAATACTTTATCATATTTTCTACAGCATTTGTTGACTTTGGTGGATACAACAAATCTTGAGGTTGTTTACATGTTTCGTCGTTGATTTCTTGCGTATTTTCAGTACCAAGCTGCTTATCGTGCCCTAAATCTAAGCCTTTTATTTCATTTTTTTCATACAAATACCAAAGGGAAACAGCTTTGTGAATGCAGAAGTATTTCTTATTTTGACATCTGCAGTCCAGACGACCAGATAAACTATTATAGGAAACGACACATCGAGAGCGAATTGGTATGTTCATGTATTTGCTGTTATAAACGGATAAATGAATATAGTTGCTATCTTTCCATGACACAACAAGTGGATGGTTATAAAAATTACAACCGTACTTAAGGTCCAAGCAGCTGTTCACGGTTTCCTCTGATAAAATTCGGTATTTATCATCAGAAGCCAATTCATAAAGCTTATCTTCACTCAACGTAACCAAATCTGGATAAAAAGCATTATTAACTAAGAGTAAATGGTGGCATTCCCTACCATTCATGCCTGACCTTGCAGCAATCGCCATCTCTTCGCGACATCGATCGTCTTCACAATCAACAAGGCCACTTTTCAGCAATTTTTGGACATGTAAAGGATAACCTATACCTCCATGCACTGACTTTTTTACCATGTATAAACCTTCAGTTTTATCGCAACATATTGCGGAAAATCTTATATCCATATCATGCCATCTTTTGTAGTGTCGATTTAAGTTTTTTTTTGTAACAAGTTTTTGGCACATACCGCACGTTTCGCGCTCAATGTGCTGTTCCCTTCTAGCTACCTTAACAGGCTCCTCTACATTAGCAGCTTTATCAATTTGTTCGCGTTGTTCTCGATTATGTTCTCGATTATCACGATTATTAGAAAAGTGTTTTAATTCTTCAGTTGCAACATTTTTTGAATGTTTATCAAGATGACTTTTAAATCTGCATTTCCTCCTAATTGTCGTAGAACATACCGGGCAATGGTAGTGTTGTGTACCCTCCTTAGACCTCTGTCCCTGGAACTGACATTTTTTACAAGGTAAAATTATATCATTGCCAAAGTGTGCAACACGGGCTTCATTAAGATGCACGTGAAGAACATGGCGTTTGGCAATGGAAAGGAAGTCAAATTTCACTGAATTGGGACATAATGTACAATGGAGATGATGAGCACTTTCGCTGCACCTTCTGGTGCCACCTTCACTGCACGCTACAGTGAAGGTACTTGGGTCTAAATTAGCACCACTTTTCAAAATTGATAACGAGCCTTTGATGCCATTGATGGGATCATCCCCTTCACACTTCACAATATTCTCCCTATTTTTGTTTAATTCGTTACTATCTTGTATATCAACCGATTTAAATGATTCAAACGACGAGTGCAATTCGTCATCTGAACGCGGTATTTCTTTGGTCTGATGACAAACTGGTAAGCTGTTCGAATATTGGCATGCAGCTTTGCTTTGACCATTACCAGAGAAAAGTTTCAAATCTATGCTATTTTGCATCAACCATGTTATAAGTATTGCTCTCAAATAGTCGCTGTAAAGTGAAACATTCCCTAAAAACCGGAAGGCTGTACATTCATGTTTTTGGGGACCTTTTAGAGACCAAAAGCTTTTTTCGTCAAAAGCTACAAGACACATAACCATAATGGTCGAAACACCACAGCTGTGACCATCCTTTTGTAACGGAAAATAGGTCCAGCAGTTTTCAGAACATATGTGGACAGGTGTTGAACTCCCTTGCTTTGGGTCGTGAAGAGACTTAATGCAAAGGTCTGCCGTTTCAGTCAGCAAACCTACAGCCTTTAAACAATTTGTTATTGACGAAGGCAAATCTTCTGGTACATCCCACCCAAGCGAATCGCCATAGTACAGAATCTTGCTGCTGATATGGTAGACAGCAACAGTGAAATGGCAACCTGATGGATTTGATTTGCCTTGATATCGTTCTCCACCCACAAACGTACTATTTCCTTTTCTCCCAACATTTACGCAAAATACCAATTTTCTTAAATCTTTTGACAGGTTGTCCTTGGTAAAATGCTTAGAAAACGTTTGGGGGTTACTCACAAGGGCATCATTTAGGTAAATGGCATGAGTGTCATTGGATGAGCAATTTATGAGGGCAATAAAACGATGAATCAAATCACTCGACAACCATCTACTCCCTACGAGGTACTTCAAGCTTGAAACGGGAAGGTGCAGCTTGCTTACAACATGACTGTCAGGGAACTGGCAAATTGACCTCAACAAATCGCTTACTGGTTTCATGTTAAGCTCCGGTGCTCCTGGAGGACGAGTTACGCCTGATTCCAATTTACTAATCCATCTTATTTCTTCTTCCACTTCATGACTTCTTCCAATGTTTATCTGCCATTGTAAAAAAAAGTAAACAAGTTATGTGAATTGTCCCAATCAGTGTCTATCACTTTAAACATACACGAAAGCATAGCGTGCCAATTAACAGAACAATACAAATCCAGTATCCAACAATTTTATAAAGGTATTTATGGCGAAGATCTGTTGCTACTTTGTGAAGGTTGGATTTTTTCATGACGCAAAGGCTATATACAGTAGAAAGCTTGCTAGTTACCGTTTTACGAATAGCGGACTGAGACTTTGTTTCGATTGATATTGCATCATCATCTTTTTTCTGAAAGCAAAAAAAAAGAATTGAGCAATAAAACTTTGTTGAATTTATAAAAAAAATATTTTTGAACTTAGAGGTTGGTGTAGAACTTAGAAGGCTTTCATAAACTGTTTCCTTGTGCAATTTGTAATGCAAAAATAGTTGCAGAACGATGAATGAAATAATGTGTACCTTGTTGTCAAACCAAGCAGTTTTTCGAGGGCCACCACTACAAGAAGGTTTGCTTCTTCTATTTAATTCCGGCCACTCCTCGGTCCATGCACTATCGGGTGAATCCAGCTAAAATATGGAGGTCAATGTAAGTTAAAACGGCGAAAAAGTTCTATTTTTCAAAAAGAATGCGTGCATTTGTAGGAAAATTCAAACAGCCCCCAATATCACGGGGTATTTATGGCGAAGATATGTTGTTTCTTTGTAAAGGTTGGATTTTTTCATGACGCAAAGGCTATATACAGTAGAAAGCTTGCTAGTTACCGTTTTACGAATAGCGGACTGAGACTTTGTTTCGATTGATATTGCATCATCATCTTTTTTCTGAAAGCAAAAAAAAGAATTGAGCAATAATACTTTGTTGAATTTATAAAAAAAATATTTTTGAACTTAGAGGTTGGTGTAGAACTTAGAAGGCTTTCATAAACTGTTTCCTTGTGCAATTTGTAATGCAAAAATAGTTGCAGAACGATGAATGAAATAATGTGTACCTTGTTGTCAAACCAAGCAGTTTTTCGAGGGCCACCACTACAAGAAGGTTTGCTTCTTCTATTTAATTCCGGCCACTCCTCGGTCCATGAACTATCGGGTGAATCCAGCTAAAATATGGAGGTCAATGTAAGTTAAAACGGCGAAAAAGTTCTATTTTTCAAAAAGAATGCGTAAATTTGTAAGAAAATTGAAACAGCCCCCAATATCACGGGGTATTTATGGCGAAGATATGTTGTTTCTTTGTAAAGGTTGGATTTTTTCATGACGCAAAGGCTATATACAGTAGAAAGCTTGCTAGTTACCGTTTTACGAATAGCGGACTGAGACTTTGTTTCGATTGATATTGCATCATCATCTTTTTTCTGAAAGCAAAAAAAAGAATTGAGCAATAAAACTTTGTTGAATTTATAAAAAAAATATTTTTGAACTTAGAGGTTGGTGTAGAACTTAGAAGGCTTTCATAAACTGTTTCCTTGTGCAATTTGTAATGCAAAAGTAGTTGCAGAACGATGAATGAAATAATGTGTACCTTGTTGTCAAACCAAGCAGTTTTTCGAGGGCCACCACTACAAGAAGGTTTGCTTCTTCTATTTAATTCCGGCCACTCCTCGGTCCATGAACTATCGGGTGAATCCAGCTAAAATATGGAGGTCAATGTAAGTTAAAACGGCGAAAAAGTTCTATTTTTCAAAAAGAATGCGTAAATTTGTAAGAAAATTGAAACAGCCCCCAATGTCACGAGGTATTTATGGCGAAGGTCTGTTCGTGAATTGTTAGGGAAATTTGAACACCCAAAAGTTAGTAAATTTGGTATTTACCGTATTCCGATTGGAAAACTTAGACTTTGCTCCTCTTGGGATGGCAGCCTTTTTCTTTTGCTGTAGATAATGAAGGTATTCATGAAAAGGCTATAATGTGTAATCATTTGAAAACGACAGTTTGAATTAATGTAAATTATGCAAGCGTTCTCTCAATAATATGATAAATTGAAATTGGTTTTACCTTAATCCTTTTTTGCTTCCTTTCAAGAGGAATATCCTGACGATTTTCACGATTCTCTTCTTCTCTCTATGATGTATATAGTTATTTGTTAGTCTTGATACATTATTCAATCCAGATGCATTTTTACTAAGGAAAGTCAATAAAACTGTAGTTGTTCTTTACCTTTTTACTAACGCCTTTTATCCATTTCCATCTAACGAATACGTTGTCTATGACGGTTCCTTGTCCAAGTGTCTTCGTAACTTTTCTATTGGATTGAGAAGAAACAGTCAGGTTCGATGAAAAAATAAGAAATAAGGAATCGCTCATATTTCATAGTGTTGAATAAAAAAAATACATGATGTGGTTTTTTAGAACTAAAGATATAACGTGAAGTTAAGAATTGTGATTAATCAAGCATACCGACGGATACTGTTTTTTTTGCCTGTCACATGCCAGCTGGTTCTACTTTCGTTGACCACATTACGCAGAGGAAGCGAAGTGGGAATTCCATCTGTTTAGGAATACATCAATAACATAGTTAATACAAATGGCTGTTCGCGTAAATTTGAAAAATAGCAATAGTCAATAGGATGGTGACATCATTTAAAAATATTCAAGGAAACTGTCATACTTTGATCCTCTCTTTCTATCTCAGATCTAGATTCCGTTTCTATTCGCTCCGTCTCAAGTAGTACACTTTCCAGGACGGCAATTAAACTTGGCAATCCATAGTCCTCGCTTAGATGAATGCTATCTTTCGAGGACCATAGTCGGCGATCTTTCTTCTTGAAGTGTTGTTCAACATTGCAGAACTGGATATCTTGCTCGCGGCAACATTTCTCCATAATTGAAAAGTATATCCCTCTCTTTGCATCCGCCTCATCCAGCCTAGGCGCAATGGAGGGGACTATTATCTACAAATAAAAAATATTTCTTTTAGCCATCTTTCACTATAAATTCGGTAAAATGTTGCAAATAAGTATTGATAAAATTTCATCAATGGAGTCCTTATACTTACGGAAGAATGCGGAAACCTTTGCTTTGCAGTCAACAAAAAGCTCGTGAAATCTTCTTCCACTCTCTTCAAATGACAATGACGACTCATGTCATTTGTACCCACAAGAAGTACGACGTAGCGAGGTGCTTTTTCTGTTTGGATTTGACAGTGGAGAATTTCACGTCCTACATGTATAAATCTTCCGCCGGGCGTAGAATTCACATACCAGTTTTGGGGACATGTAACTCTTTTTTCCACGACGGGACGCCATTGCGAGTCAGCAAAAATCGCCACCTAGAAGAAAGTACGAAGTTTGAAAGCCTTGTGGGAACCCACTACATTCAATAAAATGTATTGAACCTTCGACACTAAGCAATGAAAATTCGATGGCAATTTGAACACAGTTAAAATACAAATAGATATTAATGTTACTTACCGTCTCTGTATCAAAGCCTTTTTTCGGCATCAGATATTTATTTTCCTTATCGCTAACACCTCTTGGCCAGGGTTTTGCGGGTGCGCGCCATCCTGTACCTTTGAGATCCTGCCCCCTCCAAATCCACGCTTTCTTGGCCGAGCCTGCTCTCAGTGCAATAAAGTTGCATTTTATTGCCAACTTCTGAGAAATGCTTCCAGCATTCAAACATCGCATAGTTAGAACACTACTTTTTTGTCATCTAGTAGAAAGCTACTTACAGACTGAATTTTCGGGGATCAGTAGCACCTTATCTATGATGGAGGAAAGTCCCATACGGTTTCGGTCTTAATAGCTTTCCACACTTCGAAACAATACGTGCCCTCGACAAATCGCAGAGCAGTTACAAAAGTAACACCATTGCCTACGGACCACTTAACAAACAATTGAAAACATATGGACGGAGAACAATTGAAAATAGAGGCTATAACATTGCCAAGCATCTGGAAATAACGATAGAGAATATTGTCTAACATCTGGAAAAACAATTGGAAATTTAAAATCAGTTCTTTTTATTTTGTAATAAACGGTTTAACTTCACCCGTTAGCGAGAATTTTCGGTTCTTGCATGAGCCGTACACGGAGCCAGCTCCGCCAGAAACCAAGTGTCGACCCCGAACATGGTGGGTGATTAATGCAACCCTCAGAACCCTAAAATCTTTAAATAAACTTGTAAAAAGGTTGAATTGCACGGGGATCCAGCATTTATTTTGTAATAAACGGTTTAACTTCACCCGTTAGCGAGAATTTTCGGTTCTT